TGAGTTCTCTAGTAATTCCCTCTCCCACTTAACACCTGAGTGTCCTATTTGACCCACCTGTCAGCGGGCAAAAGGCTGCTACACCTGAATAACCATGTGGGCGGAGACACTAACCTAGAGAGAGATGCATCACCCCTCCTCTGTCCCTGATTCCTAGGGTCGATCTCATGTCTCTTATTTGTAATTTCTTCGCTCCTCGGTCTCACCGGAAGTTGATTTTTCTGCGCCATCTTAAGGAGCGTCCCATGGCACTAATTTGTGCCGGAGGATCGAGGAGCGATAACGGAGGAGCGATAACCGAGGAACCACCAGACCATCCTCCGGTGAAATCCTCAGCCACTCGCCCCGCCCCCTTACTGTGTATCAGTCACTGATTGGATGCTGCAGTGCATTCACTGATCAGATACTGCTTAACATGAGAGCAGTTTAACAGCGGACTGAAGATAACACATTAAACTCAGGGGAATCACTACTCAGTTTATAGAGTGTTTTGATTAAGGCATCATCTAGTTTCTACACCAGTGGTGGTGCAGCCTCCTGGCTGCTCAGTAGTTACCTTTCGGAGTATTTTCCTGTGCTTTAACTATAACGTGTTTCTCTTTGTGCTTCCTGTGCGGTCCCTCAGCCATCAACCAACAGACCCTCCAGCCAACCTGCTTGCTTCTCCCTTCCCCTTACCTGCCTTGTTCCTAGCCCAGACTGACCTGCCTGCCTCCCCTTCCATACCTCCATAGTCCCGCCATCTCCAACCCTGCCTGACTCTCCGAACAATAAATCTGTTAAGCATCATTTCCTCTTGAGTCATTGTCTGCGACTGGGTCCTGTATAAAACAAAATCCTGACACCTTTATGTTTTTTTTTTATGGGAGAAGGCCTTCAGTGACCAGTCAACATTTTCACACACACATTGTGCTCATCCTTGCAGCTGTATGTTTATCAGTTTACTGCAAACTAAAATATCATAGAAGCTGGGCTTGTTTTCCTAATTTCCATATTGTAAATATAAAAATAATTGTTTTACTTCACATGTGATTCCCCTGCTCCCCCCCACAGCCAGGTGCCGTTTCACTTTCCTTCTGGTGGCTGGATTTGTATCAGGCTGCACTGCCCCACTGTGAATAACGAGCATAGCCTCAGTGGGGCGGGGGTGCAGGACCCGGCCATGACATCTCATTTGGGGAAGAGGAGCAGCTTCAGCCCGTTAGCCCCAGCCCTCTGATGGTAGGCTGTGTGTTTGAGAAGGGACACAGCTCAGGACTCCGCTGATTTGAGTCATTGTGTGCGATCCTGATTTACTCTGCTGACTTTACTCTGCTGACTTACACCCACAAACTATCAAAAAACATACAGTAACTCATGTTTGGAAGCAAACAGATGTTGCTCTAACTTCTACAGATTGATTGGTATGAAACACAGTAAAAGGCATACCTCTGGACTCAAGATAAGATATATTGCTGTTGTGGTTTAATTTATACTTTTATGGATTTTTGGATAAAAGGCACACTTAAGCGATCAATATTTTCAACATTTTAAGGAATTGCATTACATTACAATTCATTAAGCTTTAGTGACTTACAATAAGTGCATTCAGCCATGAAGAAACACAAAAAGCAAGCAGCCTGCTACACGCCGTCAATAAGTCAAACCTTTTTAAATGGTACAAACTGAAGAGAGACCAAAGATGTGTAGACTTTCTGCTGTCCTGATATTAGCGAGCCGATTGGCCGGAGTGAAGTGCACATGCTGCAGTGTATGGTTTAAAGAGGCCCTGTTATGGTTTTTGGGGTTTCCCTCTCCTGTAGTGTGTTCTATAGGTTTTTGTGCATGTAAATGCTATGCAAAGGCTAAAACCCCTGTGTTCTCTCCAGAGGGAGTTTCTCTGGAAGAGTGATCCATTACAGTATGAACAATATGATGTGAAGGTTGTCTCTCTCAGTGAAATGTGTTAAATCCACAGTTCCCCTTAACTTGTCACTGTCATTTAGCTCATTTCCAGAAATAGCAGGCAGCTGTTTAAAGTGAAAAATATCTTAAACTGTCTACACCGTCTCTCCTGCACCGAGTTAAAGACTAGTTTTGAACATGGAGTATTTTGTATTTTTCAGAGCTTAAATGAGACTATTGAATGCTAATGTTGCTCTTTGTATGCTAAACGTGTAATAGGCACGTGTGCTGACACCCCAGTTAACAGAATCATGTGCACTCTGATTTGCCAAAATGAAACAACCAAAGTAAAATCCTGACCATGTAGACATTTAATTGTGGCAACAAGAAGAGCACACATACCAGGATATATTGTTACAGGGTTATTTGTTTATATCATTAGTCAGTGTTGAAGAGACCAGAAACACATAGCAAAATACATACTGCATGTCTGGAAACACACATCGCTAATATGTTTGCCACGACAACTTCACATCTGAGTCCCCTGCTTCAAGTGAAAATGCTTGTTTTAATCATTCAACAGTATACCTTATTAATATAGCTTCCTTCAGATCCTATAAGGTGTTTGTTTGTGAGGTGTGGTTTTTGTTGTTGTTTCTTTGTGTGGGCTCACCAACCCAGATTGAGAAGAAAATAAATATCATAAATATGTTTTTACTTAAGTGTTTTAGAACAGGATAACCAATAACAGAATTGGAGGGATGAAACCCTTTTTAATGGTCACACATACATGCACACAGCGTGAAATTTGACCTCTATTTAACCCATCTTAGTACTATTGTAGCTATTGTACAGCACCGGGGGAGCAATGGGAGTCAGTTTCCGGTGCCTTGCTCAAGGGCACCACGGAAGGGCCCAGGAGGTGAACTGGGTAGCAGTCCACACTCCATATTTAGGTCTGTTCGGGACTTGAACCGGCGACCCTACGGCTCGCAGTCCAAGTCCCTACTGACTGAGCCACTGCCGGACAATGTGACCTTGGAAAAGAAGAGACCAAGATATTTAGGATCAAAAATGATTTTATGTATAGGAAAAATGATAAAATGATAAAAACGCTGCTGAAGTTAATCCATAGGTTAATCCAATGTGTCTGTGTCCCTTTGAAATGATTTCTGATAATCCATAAGCATTCAAACTTATTTTCCGTTTCCAGATGTCAAAGCTAGAGATTCGCTCTGATGCAAAACTGCATGCGCGAAGCCCCCACCTTTCTGTTTCACAATGAGTGTGTGTGGGGGACTCCCCCTTCGATTCTATTGGCTCTAACGGTCAGAAAGAGGTGTCAACCATCAAAAAAAAAGCAAGGGGTCCAGAGATATGGAAAATCCACCCAAATGACCCCAGAAGTGGTTTCTTTTTGCTAAATCTCTCTAAAAAGGTCAAATGTCACTTGTTTTGCATCAATCTTGATACAGGGTACTTACTATATGTTGTACTTTGGATTCCTAAAGCTTTTAGTCTACCTTACCATCATCCAAGGGTAGTTTTCACTATAAGTAAAAAAGAACTTTTGGACGGACACTATAATTTACAGTTTTTTTACTATGTAAAATCAGAATTTTCTTTAAAATAAAAAACATCTATATTGATTCTGACTTTTCTACATCCAACTCACAGGTTTATCATTACTTTGAGAAAAAAGATTATTAATTTAACCCTTTTAGAAGGGAAGATATGGTCATTTGTTCTGGGAATGTCATTTTCGAGCCTGAGACCTGAAAAACAGGCTCAGGGTTTAACAGGTTAACCTGTTAAGCCCTGAGCCTGTTTTTCAGGTCTCATTTTTTTGTAATCCTAATTTTGTAATCCAGTTACATGTAATCCATTACTCCCAAAGCCTGAATACAGTTTACCATTACACTGTGTGCAAGTCTACAGAGATGGCTCTGATAAACTTCTAGCCGCCCAACATAGCAGATGACTTGACTTCCCTTTACATGCAAGTGTCATGTTTAGTGTCAAAGAGTACAGTCTAGACTTTCTCTTCTGTTATGACCAATATTAATAAAAATTGACTTAATTTGTCTGACTTGATTTGATATTCAATTATAGTTAAGTGCACTACCACACTAGCTGAAGAACATGCAGTCAGTGTGGTTATGAGTTATTGTATGCTGTGCTGTGGGCCTCGTCATTTCACAGCAGATGTTACTCATAAGTGGAGGTGTAAGCAGAAGTGAAATGTTAACAACAATGCTCACAACCACAAAGTCATGTGGGTCTGTTTCTTGGTTTTTGCTTCACATTTTATCACAATGCAGGCTCAGTGAAACAGTTGAGATCAACATCAGTATTCACTATGACCTGTTTTACATGATATGTAAATACAACAACATAATAATTTATAATAGAAGACATCCCCACATACATGAAGTATTGTCCATCAAGAACCAGACAGTGGAACTTTGCCAAACGGATCGCCAGCGTTTGTATTGACTTAGGAAACGTTCCTATTTTAACATCGACAAAACCATGATGATCATGTTTTATTGTTTATTTATAGTCAATTCTGTCTTTTTCTTTAATGTCATGGTTTGGTAACCTGTCTTTAAAGAGCAGGAACTCTCTCTTCCTTCAGGCCAGAGGTTAGCTGTCCCTAGTTGCAGAATTAAGAGTTTCAGCAGCCATCGCTCAAATTAACATGTGCTTGCAGTGTCACAAAGATACTACTATTTTTATTATTATATTTTGTAATGTTATTTACTTGCTAGATTGTTTATTTTTGTACTAGTGGTTTTTATATCTATGTAAATGTGATAGAGCATGGGGTACTTTTTTAAAGATTTTTCTGTGTTTTAAAATGTCAGGATGGATCCTTTTATCTGCAAACCAAATCAACCTACAGGTAGAAATAAATCACCTGAATCTGAACTTGATCATCAGTGTCTACAAATACCACTTGTGGTTTGAGTTTAAGCTGCAGCTTCACTTCTCTAAATTGAAACCAAACTTTTTGGGGTTCCCAGCTGCACAGCAAACACAGAACTTCCTCTTTCCTCGCAAACAGAGCGAGCAAAGCTCCACCTCTGGTAAAAATAACAAGTTTGCTGCTTTCATCAGGCACACACAGAGAGAGGAGTCAGCACAGCGGAGCGTAAAAACTTACACTGTGGTTGCAGGCACATTTAGAGAAGGTTAAACTTCTCCTGTTATTACCAACTAAGAGGTAAGTTGTGAGACGATATAACGGTACTGCACATGTAAAGTAGAATTCTTAAATCAATTTGTTTTGATGGTTCTTCTGGCAGATTTGCACATCCCTCTGAATTGTGCACATTGTACACAAAGCTACCTCGCATATCTGCACGGCTTTCCACTTTTCATACCAATACTGCACATATTTTATTCTAATTTATTTGTACAGGTATATTATATATTTGTTATATTTAATGTAAATATTACTACATTTTAATGTTATAATAGTTTTTTATAATAGTTTTATTGTTGTGGTCCTTTTCTTACAATTGATCTTCTTTAACTGTGCCTCTGTATTGAACCAAATGCACCAAGGCAACCTACTGTACTCGGCAGTACAACCTGTTTCTGATTCTGATTTGTCATTCAGATATTTGCATAGATAACCTGGACATGGCCCTTGGCAAAGAGAAGCTGCAGCTCTTGTTTCGTTTCGCCCTGGTGTTCTCGGTGGTTCTGACCTCAGCTCTGAGAACCCTGGATTCAGACCAGGAGCTGCAGGATAGCGGTTTCGGTCGCCCGCCGCCTCGCCACGGCCTCAAGCTGCTGGGCTGGTACGTTCAGGACTGCCTGGACAACAACATGCGGGCTCTGTGTGATCCCACTAAAGGAGAGTTTGGATTTCACATGTTTCAGAACCGTAGGCCTCAGAAACTGCTTCCAATAATAGAGGACGAAAAGCAATATGCATACTACACCATCGGAAACCTCCACTCTTCACATGCCAAGGACCTGCCCTTTGAAGTCAAGAGGTACTACAACCGCAGTGACCCTAAAAGCAACATGGACAGAGTTTTGGTGAGATACAACATCAACAATAAACACATTGACCAAATCTACGCATCTGCACATTACGATCCAAACGAGACGTACATTATTGGCCCCAATCTTCTTGCCTTTCTTCGACAACAGCCCTACATTAGCATAGAGATGTGACTTCTGATGTCAAACTCTCTGTGACAACTTTAATAGCTCCGTGATTCATTCCTCCAGAGATATATGATGGAGTTTCAACATTCATTAAACAATGTGGATTTGGCTGCTGCTTTTCTTTGTGGTCTGATTGCAAGAAAAGTGAAATTTTTGATGATTATATTTCCTGAAAGTCAAGTTGCACAGTATGCCTACTTTTAGAATATACAGTAGAGAATCCATAGAAAAGTGTCTTTGACCAATCAAATAAATGTTCGAATGGGCTGCTTTGGTGTGTGTCTATGTGTGAACATTTCTGTTCATTAAAACTTTGGTCTTTTGTACCTGGATTGGGGCATCTTTCAGCTTAGATCACATTGTAATATTCACAAAGGTTTATCCCATCTAATTGCTGGGGGCTTGCAACACAAGGACATTGTCAAGCCCTTGGGTATATTTGCAGTTTCCCCGCTTGAAAGGGATGGTACAGTCCATAGGAGGTTTTAACTGGGTTTCACTCATACAATGACCACAACTTTGTTTTCTTTTGGGTTCTTCTTTACTTTAGTAAAGTTGTAAGGTGAAAAACCTTAAATGAAAAATTTAAATAATTACTGTAAATACAATGCACATGAAATAATAAATGCAAAAATACATGCTTTACATATATTTTTTAACACTTGTGAATATTGTTTTTCCTTTCTTAGTGTATTTTTACGAATTATGTTTTTAAACAGTTTTTAACTTATGCAGTCTCATTAAAAATGCAAATATAATAGACTGAATTTTTCGCAGCATTCAAACCGTTATTTATCAATAATACATATCTAAATAAACAAATCACATTCGTTTTTTAACTCAACAATCATGTTGCTTTAGCTTGAGGACATCAAACAAACAAATGACACTGAATTAGAACGTACGTTCTAACGTGCGCCAAGAACGGCAAGTTGTATGACTTTTCTATAAACACACAGTTCGTCTCTCACCGGCCGCCTCTCCAGCTTTTTATGGCTGCACCAGTGCTGCTTCTTTGATGTTTCTTCTGCTGGTTCGTTGCTGCTGCTGGACGCGCGCTTTTTATTTTGTCCCTCTCCAGCTTTGATTACCGCCCTCCTTTCAGGTGCGGTGCTTTTAAAGGTGCAGCGACGCTGATTAGGAATTAGGGAATGATTACAGACAGCTGCCACTCTGTCAATCAGCCCGACTTTTTAACCCTTTGATCTCCTATGGATTCTCCAAGTTGACTTCACAGACATCCTGATTCTGAATGTGTGAAAATAACTGAGCAGTCACTCCATCAGACAAGTGAAACAAGCCAACAGCTTAAACTAGCACGATTGTCGTATTCAACTTCAGGAACTCACAGGAAAACTTTGCATACATCTACGGTAAGAACAGTAGGTCAACAAAAAACTATAATACCCCAATACACTGCTATAGATTGACTTCATCTCACTTCAACACCTTAAAGGAGACATGTCATGCTTTTCCGGTTATTACCCGTCCCCTTGTGTGTTATGAAGGTTTTTATGCATGTAAACGGTGTGCAGAGTCAAAACCCTCAAAGTACACCCTGTAGCGAGTAAAACTCTAACACAGAAAATACCTCCCCAAAACGCCTCGTTGGAGATACGTCATTGTCCATTTGATTCTTCCGGGTACGGGATGATGTAATCCCGTACCCGGAACGAAGTGGACCAATCCGTGGAGCCGTTACGTTACGTCCGCGGAGCCGTTACGTTAAGCCCCCGCTGATTGGTCCAAATTGACCAATCCACGGACTTCCTCACACACACATATGTGTGCAGGGAGCAGGCAGTTCAGCTGATTTCTCCTCCCTGGCTGCAGGCTGATAACAGACAGTTGGGATCGCGGCGAAATTCTCTCTGCAGACCCATTCTCTCTGCAGACCCATTCTCTCTGCAGACCCATTCTCACAGCGTTTATCAACCTTTTTCTTACTCAATATCAAGCCACACTTATTGTTTTTACTTCGGCTGTGACTTTGTGTGTGCTCAGGATGAGTTTGGCTGTGTTTGGCTGTGTATCGCTAAACAAGGAAACAACACCTCCACGGAGCTCAGCGCGATTCACAACGTCCCGACCAATCAGAGCACACTGTGCTCACAGGGAGGGTGGGGGCTGGAGCTATTGGAGCTACAACGAGCCGTTAAAGGCAGAGAGTGAAATTCAGTGAATACACGTAGTTTACAGAGATGCTGTATGAGAAACCAATGTGAGTTTGGAAAAATGCACAATATAAATCTATTCTAGTAGACCTCAACAATGGAATTATGATCAGTGGAAATGGCCATGACATGTCTCCTTTAAATAGGTGTGTCTAACCTAGAGATTTAAAAAAAAGGTACACAATTATTTCTGTCTATCCAAGTTCAATAGTATTGACATAATTATCTTATTTGTATTCAACACAACTTACAGAGAGAGTTTTTCCCTGTTTGTCATGGTATTGGGATGTCAATAATATAATGGGTCAGAGTGGATTGTACTGCTTACACCAAAAGAGGCGAACACAAAACAGACCAAAGAGTTAAGATGCATTCACATGATAGGCACTTTTCTCTTAGCTCACTTAGCACAGCTGTCTTTTGATTGGTAGGTCAGCAGTTAACAAGGTTAAAGTTGAGATATTTTTAACTCTGTGCGAAGAGCTTGGAGAACAATTTTGATCAATGGCGCCACCGCTCTCTCCATAGAACGCCAGCACAGAGCTGTTATACCGCATATCATGAATGCAGCTTTATCAGTAATCATTACAACAATTACGACAACAATAAACCTCCATAAGCCTATATACCTATTGGGTAATCCCCCTGCGCACCCGCACAGCACTGAAACACTTGTAGTCCACGCCCACCCGCGAGGAGGGCCCCACCCTCGGGCTCCCTTCCGGTATAAATAGGAAGGAGGCCCGACAATCTGCTCCCTCTTTTCTTCAGCACCCCGTTACTGAGACACTTAAGAGTAAAGGCTCTTTTAAGAGCCACCTCGAAAAAGATCCTTAAACATGAGTACACAGGGTTGTGTTAGAGTTTGCTCCTCATGCCAGACGAATCCTGCCTGGGGTCGGAGCACGCGCACGCAGCTCTCGCCCAGCAGGTGTCATGTGCTCATTGTCATTGTGCCCGTCTCCCTCTGGCCGACAGACAGCGAAGAGCGGACGCTCTCGCTACTGCGGCCGAGGAGGATGATTGGCCAGTCCAGGAGTCCTACTCCGTGGACCAGCCTTGAGTTCCTGGATCCGAGTGCTGGGCAGGAGTCGGAGGACTCCTACCCTGCCTCCATCCACAGACCACCGTGTGGTTTCCCCATCCCATTTCTCCCCCGGACGGAGGAGACGGAGATGGAGCCCGGTGCTGGCCTGGCCCGGCTGCGGGACACGCGGTCCCTCTTTCCGCCATCACGGCTCTGCCGTCGATAGGCGGGATCCTGCAGGAACTGCCGGAGATCATTGAAAAGGCAGCCGCCTGGAGGTCTCCTCGTTCCCCCGGCTCAGGAGAGCTCTCTTGCCGGTGGCAGGAGTGTTTCTCCCGGGTACAGACCGTCAGGAGTGACCCGGTCTGGCCGCGCTTCCCGGCCCTCCGGAAGTGCCAGGAGGGAGCGGCCTCAGCGGCGGCGGCCCCTAGGGAGCCTGAAGGCTCCGGTGTCCTCATACGTCCCCCTCACTAAGGGATTAACGGATGTTGGTTTCCGACCGCGCCTCCCCTGGAGCCGAACCTGACGGCGTTATTCGGGGTGAAGCAGGCCAGCACGGTCGCCGCACGGCGTCCCTTGCTTTCCTCCCCCGGGGACCAGTTTGTCGTCCGCCAGACTGCTGACCGGATGCATTAGTGTGCCTTCCAGGCGTCTGCAGCGGCGAAACACATCGCTCTGCTGTCTCACTCCATAGTGAGACTATCAGAGCAGCCCTCCATGCCCTCCGAGGCTTCGGAGGAGATAAAGGAAAGTGCTGCTGGATGCTCCAATCAGCCCGGACGGGCTGTTCGGACCCCAGTTCTACGCCATGGTGGAGTCCATGAAAACTGCCGCGGAACAGGGCAGCATGTCAGCTGGCTCCAGCCTGCTGAGCGGCCCCAGCGGCAGCGCCCGCAGCACCCGCCACGGCGTCAGGGCTCGCTGCAGAAGCCTGCTGGTTTTAACCTATCGATTAATAACCTGCAGAGCTCGCGGCATTCCTCTGTCCGAGATACGCCTCCTACACACGGTCATAATAAACCCATGAGCGCTGTTATAACGCCTCATGTGGACAGCACTGCACACACCTCCAATCATCCCCTGAGCGTACGCGCCTCATGATGAGAGCCGGAGTGAAACGCAGCGTGTGGAGGCTCCCTCGCAGCCCTTTCGGTCCAGGCCCACCTTGGGTTGCCTCTCGGGCAGCGGCGGCGAGGGCTCTGGCGTGGCTCGTCGCCATGACGACCACAGAACATCTCGAGCATGTGCGCCCGCTCTCAGAGTATTTCTCAGAGTGGCAGCACATGTGTCTGATGTACAGATGGATGAGCAGGCTGATCAGCAGAGGGTACACCCTGCAGTTCGCCTCTCCCCCCGCAGTTCAATGGGATACAGGAAACACTCCTGTCATCCCAGGAACAGTGTCTTGCGCTCCATTCAGAGCTGCAGGAACTCCTGTTGAAAAATACTATTTTCAGGGTTCCTCAAACGGAGGAAAATAGACTGGGGGAATGAGACCCATCCTCGATCTGTCAGTATTCCACATGCTGACGATCAAACAGGTGCTGGAATGTGTTCACCAGGACGACTGGTTCACTTCCACCTGAAGGATGCATACTTCCACGTACCCATCATCCCGAAACACAGGAAATTCCTGCGTTTCTCATTTCAGGGAATATCAGACCAGACAATCGTCTGCCGTTCAGATGTTCCCTGGCTCCTCGCATTTTTTCAAAGTGTGTAGAGAAGGCTGGAGCCACTACACAGAGGAGGGATGAGAGTGTGGTTTTATCTGGACGACCTGCTATTGCTGGCTCGCTCCAGGGAGGAAGTCGCTTTACAGACGTTACATCTCGTATTGCATCTGTCAAGCCTGGGTTTCATAATAAATTGGAAGAAGATCTGTCCTCTTCCCTCTCAGACAATCATTTATCTGGGAGTGGAATTAAACTCAGCCAGCAGGAGAGCGCGGCACTCGTGGTTCTCGCGGCAGAGAGTGGAGAAACTGACAGCTCTCCTCCGGCGTGTCACATCCCGCAGCGTGGTGACAGCCCTCTCCGTGATACAGCTGCTCAGCATGACGTCAGCTGGTCACGTGGTGATCCCCCTGGGTTTCCCCCACAGGAGGAGACTCCAGAGGTGGTTCATTCGCCTGCACATCGACCCCGTGCGTCAGAGGTAAATGTGCTGGAGCTGCTCTCCGTTTTGGGAAGTATTACAGCACTTCGCCCCGTTGCTGTACAATCAAACATGTGTTGATTCGCACAGACAACAGGCCACGGCAGCCTACCTCAATCGCCAGGGAGGAGTGATCTGTGCAGCTTCTGAACGCAGCCAGGCGGCTGCTGTTCTGGGCGTGCACACACGTTGCTCTCCATCAGAGCAATGTATATTCCTGGCA